GGTTGTGCTGGGAATCTGAGCTCCAGTGTATACACACAGGAGATCTCCATCCCCTTCCTCCCTTGAGCAGCAGTCTCGACACTCCCGGGGTTCCACACAATACACACAAACATCCGCACACGTTCTGCCCTTGTTTGTGTTCTGATTCAGCAAGTTCTAACGCTGAGGATGTAGCACTGCCTGCTGGTCAGAAAGGTGCATTGAGCATGAACTGATGTTTGCTCTTAAATATATTTTACATGGACTGTACATGTAGAGCACCTTTCTATCTGATCAAGATACTCAAAGCGCTTTACAACACAAGAATTTACCCATTCATACAGCACTCTACTTGGGATGTGCGATATGGCATAAAATTCATATCCCGATATCTATTATGATGGGGTGGTGGTAACGATATACATCATGATGTGTTTTTGGTATAAAACTTGCAATAGGAATGAAAAAAAAGCATAGGGTGTCATTTTGACATCATTTATTTTGAAAACTGCTATACCAGAAAATAATCTCAATCAAGAAAATTCCACTACTAGGTCCAGAGAGTTCTTAGATAAAAAAGTGTTAGTGCAAAACAGTGCAAAAGATATCAAATGTAGTTTTAGCCATATGTTTTAAACAAAATAATATGTTATTAACTCTTAACAGTTTCCAGTATTCTCACTTAAGCAATGAACAGCAACAGAGCAACATTTTACCTATAACGAAGTGCACACTGAAAACACTTAATAAAACTCAAATTCAAAATCTTGCTGTCATTTGTTAGAGTCTAAGATTGTTGACCAAGAACACTAGCTTGTCCACAGTCTCTGGCTTTAACAGAGACTGGTGACATGAAACAATGTTGCCACAAATGCTAAATGTCCTTTCTGAAGGAGCACTCGTGGCTGGAATGCAAAGGTATTTCTTGGCCAGCCTTGCCATTCTTGAAAAATTAGCCTGGTACAGTCTCCACCAGTCCAGTGGGTTAGCTTCTGACAGACGAAGGTTTGGCTTCAAAAGCAAAGGAGGGGTTCCATGGTAGGGATGGGACCGATCTGGTATCTGTATCGGATTCCGTTACCAGCATAATTTGCGTATCGGATTTTTCCGATCCAACCTGCAGAGATTTCCGAACCATGATGCATGTCTGTCTGCTGAAACGTCTCTACATGTTCCCTGCCGGCTGCTCTGCAAGTTGGCTTTGAACTATGGAATGGATTTCTTGAACGGAGGCATGTTTCATGAAACCCAGAGTAATAAAATCCGCCTCTCATTCAAGAAATCCATTTCATAGTTTGCAGACAGCTAAAATATGTAAATATGTGAGGACTGAGCAGCACTGTGGCTAACGGCTAACCAACTTTTCATCTCAACATGTCTGCTGCATGGAAGTATTTTACACTAGAAACACCACAAAGCAAGACAGCAACGTGCAATGTCTGCAGAGCCGCTGTACAGAGAGTGGGATGCTCCATCGCAACCTACAATACAACAAATTTAATCAAACATAGCACCACATTAAACCACAGTAAAGTTAGTTTTACGTTGGACATTCAAGCTCTGTGACTTCAGCGGTGTGTTCTTCTCGTTCAATCCGAAGCAGGCAGTCTGATTTTGGTCCGCCGCGCTCAATCTGCCCATCTTGGACGAGGGGCAGATTGAGCACAGCTGACCGAAATCAGTTTGCCAGGTTCGGATTGAACGAGAAGAACACACCGCTGAAGCCACGGAGCTCGAATGATTACCGAGAAGTTGCTAAACTTCATCATAATTAATGACCAACTGCTATCAGTTGTAGAAAACGAAGGATTTATCAACTTGATACTTGCAGCCAAGATATAGTTTACCCTCCAGGAGATATTTATCAGTACAACAGTAGACAATCATAAAAATGCATATGAATTGAAAAATGCAAGAACAAAAAAAAAATAAAAAAAATAAAAAAAAAAAATATATATATATATATATATATATATACATGAAACAAAAACAGCTACATTATAAAGTGATGTAAAATACTAAAAACAGGAACATGTCTGTGTTGGTTTATGCCATGAACTTAGCAGATGTTTGAAGCCATTTAATCGCTTTATTTATTTATTTATTTTATTTAGCCTTTATTTATACAGGTAGTCTCATTGAGCCACGAGAACTCATTTTCAAGAGAGACCTGTTTAGGGAGCACATGGTGGGGGTTAAGGGCCTTGCTCATGGGCCCAGAGCTTTAATATCCACTTTAAAGCTAGGAATAAAAAAAAATGTTTTGTGTTAGCAGGATTTAATGCTAACTTTAAAACTTATCCAACATTAATAAAACTTACCTCAAGTTGCCTTTTTGGACATGCAGGCATATTTTTGTACAAATTGTATTTGCCTATAGATAAGAGATTATTACAGCCTCATATAAAATCAATAATCATGATGATATCGGAACGGGATCAGGATCGGTCGATATCCAAATTTAGGTATCGGGATCGGAAGTAAAAAAAAAAAAAAAGTGGATTGGTGCCTCCCTATTTCGTGGGCATCTTCTTCCGCTTTAAGGAGAGCTGACACAAAATGGCGACCGGTTTCCTCAGTGGCTTTGACCAGACAGGGTCTCGCAGTAAAATCACACAACACAGCATTCTTTTCACAGATCAGAGAGCAGGTGTACCCCTTTTTTTTTTTTTTTTTTAGCACAAATACACTCTCTAAAGCTGACTAACGCTTACTTTAACTGTCGATGGAACACAGCGTTTTGCGCATGCGTCCAAATACGGCAACATTATGGCAAGCCGACCATAGTTAGCTTGTAGCTTCGCTACTTAGCTCTCGAAGAAAACAACTTTAACACCATTTACGCACAGTTTTCAACTCAAACAACGTAACGATTAAATCTGACAACTCTGATTTTAGATAAGACAGCGTTACTGCGGTTAGCCAGTAGAAGACAGATCTCTATCATGGGCTAAATGTCTATCGTTTCTACTGTGCACCGTATATATTGCGCATTCCTACACTCTATCTATAAAAAGACTAATGAGAGCTTTGTCACATTCATACACCGATGGGACACACATCAAAGGTAATGAGGGGTTCAGTGTCTTGCTCAGGGACACTTCATCATGTGACTACTGGTGGAATCGAACCCTCAACCCTTGCATTGACGGACGACTGCTCATAGTATTTACATAAAGAAAAAGCTCATTTCTGGTGTTATTAACAAGCAAAAAGCAGAAAATATAAAATGCTTATTTCATTAAAAGTTTATTTTTGTCTACATTGTGGAAACAATGTCATTATTAAATTTTCTCAAATGTTTTTCCAACGTTTCTTTCTGAATGCTGCAACAAACAAAGTTAAAGTGACGAAAAGTATATATTGATCCAGTAATCGAGAGCTACTGTTAGCTATTTCATGACTTGTCTGAGTAGTTCATTGATCACAAATATATTTACAGGAAGTCCTGAGTTGAGCTTTACAGTACTGTATATTGTGAATTTAACTTCAGTGTACACAACATTGGTATCAGGATTTCTTGAATTACAATAAAGTGTTGTGCCTTTTATGTTTTCCATGTCATTGATATATTTGGTTTGTCAGATGGACTCTCACTGCCCTAGATAGAGGCTGTGATGAATTACACAGAAAAACAATTTTAAAATGTTGTGATAACGGAACAGAAAGAGCAAAGTGAGGAAGAGTTATTGCAGATGACGGTCATGACAACATTCAACAATACTATTACACTGACATGTTTTCCTGTTATTGTGTAGCCCTGTTCTAGAGCATGAGGTAATGCTACAAACTGCATTTGTTTAAAAAAAAATCAGTTTTTAGTGAAGAATTTCTAATCAATCAAAACATCTGCACTTTACTTTAAAGTCATTACATTTTAATCTACTAATTATTTTAGGTGAAGATTACATTAAAACTTTAAACATAACATTTTACTGAACTCATTCCAATCAAAATGACCTAATGAATAAATCATCCCAACCTTTTTCTTATTAGCATAGAGTAGCTATAATGGACACTTTGAGCTGTAAGAACTGCTCTGTTCTCCTTGACCACTCTTCTAAAGCTCAATTGCACTGAACCACAATTACCTCCTGACCTCTAATAATAGTATTAGTACAAGGGTCAGCCCACCTTAATGGACCCCATCATTCTGTTATATGTCTAAGCAGATAAATTCGTTAGCTCTCTATCTTTAGGAAAAACTTTTTTTTCTCCTCTTTTAAGGCAGCTTTAATAAAAAATAAATAAAAAAAACACATTTAGTCACAGAGGTCTGATGGATGAATGTTTAGAGACGCTATTAAAGTTGGGTGCCAGGTTACATCTTGCAGCCAAAGCAATTTGATAATTGAGGTTGTTAGAGTGAAAAAAGCTGAAGGCTGAAGACATCGTCCGTTATGCTGTGCAAATAATCCCCCACGCACAGCGCTTGCTGTCACAGTCAAACTCATTGTGTCATTTTTCAATCTGGGGCTTGTCTGAGTCCTGTTGGATTCTGGATCCAACAGAGTCTACTGTGTGTGCATTCACATACACTTGGACCCTGCCAGCAGAGCTCTGTGGATTGGGAAGCAATTTGGTCTTTTTTAATATTTAACCAAATTGCAATAACAAATATTGGGCCAAACCAAGTTCGGTGCGCACGCACGCACTAACCTGGACATTTTCTTGTAGAGAAAATGTAACAGATCGTGACTAAAGCCTATCAGACATGGTTCTGTCAGCGCACTGTATGCAGCAGCTCAGGCTTTTATTCATTAAAGCTGGAACTTGCTGGTTATGTCTGGGGGTGGATGAGTTGTCTAAATGCTGACAATTGAGATAAACGCCAGATTCAATACTTTTTAAAAGATTCCTTTAGTCAAGCTCTTTTTGAATTCAGTAGGAAGCAAAATTGTTCCCTACTAGTTATATTATTTTTAAAATATATTCAAAAGAACAAAACTGTGACATATTATATTGATGGTGTACAAATGAAAGAATGCCTTGTAATGTATCTTCTCGTTTTATTTTGACAGATAACAAACATCACCAAGCTTCGAGACTTTCTGCTACAGCACCGCAAAGATTACGTGAGTTCTGGAAGGTAAGCAAAACCTCCAAACCCTCAGAGTAAACCAGTAAACCACAACAGTCTGCAACAGAACCTTTAAAGCTGAACACCAGACAAACCAAAGAAAACGGACCCAAAAAAAAAAAAATGAGAAGGTCAGAGGTCAGGGTTATTATCAAATACGTTTGCATGTGTGGTTGTGCGTGTGATGGCTTCTGGCACGAGGTCAGCAACGAGTAGGGTGGTCGTTTGAGGCAGGCTCCAGTCTAATTGTCTGGAATAATTGAGCTGCAACCAAGTGTAGAACAAGTCACGCCCAGGGATTAATCCAGGCCTTTATTTGCTCAAGGGCACTCTGTGTTTGGGTAGCCTAGATAAGCTGTATGGATAAATCTACAGCAGAACACAGTAACAAAATGTAGATGTAAACTCAGTTATTCCTTTCTTTAATGTCTTTAATGTTGTTAGTGTCTGTGCTTGTGTGTTCTTGGCTGGTTTTGCTAAATGTGAACCACTGGACGGAGTTTAGCGAAAGAGTTTAGTTCGTATGAAGAAAGTGATAATTTCATGTACATTTACAACAGATGGAGTCACTTCATGTCAACATGGCCATGAGCGCTAATCAGCCTCAGTTCATTGTACAGATATTGAGCTACAGTTTAGCTGAATGGCATTCCTAACTCTGAGCGCTAACAAATAGCAGAAGGTCATTGTTTAAAACGTTGGCGTGATGTGAGGCTTTATATGATATGCATTCTTGTCTTTGTTGAAGCTGTTGTAGTCAACCTTGCCTTTCTGTTAGATAAACATCTCATGAACCACTGGACATATTTTAATGAAACTCAAAGTAGTCATTAGTACATTATTTGTACAACTGATTATGTTTCGGAGTTGGCGTGATTGAAGATGGTCATTGTAGCTAATGGAAGTTGGAAAACACAATGATGGCTGTAGCTCAAAATGTTTTGCAAATACTTAATTAAAATTTAGCGCGGTTTTATCTGAAAGTCATTCCAACAGGCAATAACAGTTCATGTGACATCTTGGTTTAAAAACTGGGCTTGCAAGAAGGCAAACGATATGAATTATTTCAAGGAATGCTACTTTAATTTTTAAAGTGAAAAGGCAGGAAATGTTCCTGTTGCAAGTGGAATAAATGCTATAACTCAGATTTAATCTGTCAGTGATCATTACAGCTAAGGTTGGGGCAAGCATTCATGCATAAAACAAAACTTTACAGCACCCTCTTCTGGATTTCAAGGCATGTTACTGTTTTGAACAAACTGCTGAAGCACGTCAGTGGTGTTTCTGGTCTTTTCAACATCCCACACCTCCTCCTGGGGACTCCATCTTGGGTGATCAGGTCTCAGCTTGTGTCCGGATGGCATGCTGCTCTGTAAACCAAAAAGCTTCATGTTAATACATTTTCTAAATTAGAGTTGTTTTATTTGGAGAATGTGTGCTGCTCTTCTGTCAGCGGCGTCGACTCAAACTGTTTACTGTTAGAAAGACTTGGATTTGAATTAGCATTCCTGGGTTGTTTGTTTGTTTGTTGTTCAGATTAAATTGGCGTGCTTTATTTGTTGAGGATCATTTGCGCTCTTATACTGTATGTGGCTTCTAATTTGCTTTTTGTGGTAATATGAGTTTATTGAAAATTCCTGGAGATATTCACTGTATTTTTTCTAGACTGTTTTTGTAGAACCGTATCCTTTGTTGTTTTTTATTTGTTTTATATAATTTGACAAAATTCCATTTATATTCTGATGTTTTGCTAGAGTTTTTTATTCATCCTTGCAATGTCGTGTGTATTATAGTCTCATCTCATCAGATCTTAACCGTATGACGGACAGTGAGCGAGACCAGATCGACCAGGATGCTCAGATCTTCATGAGAACCTGTTCTGACGCCATCAAGCAGCTACGCAGTGAAGGTGTGTGTTCACTCACACTGAACAGGATCATATAATGTAGAAACCATGCTGCACGGAGATGCTTGCATTTTCTTTTATAAGCTGTATTTTTATTTTACGAATGAACTGTTTGCCAACATATAAGCATCCTTCTCTGTAACAGTGGAGAAGCAGACGACATCAGCCCAGGTTAAGGAGCACCGGGGTGCAGTGCTGGATATCATTGAGATGTATCTGACAGGTACTTTCCTGGAACTAGTTACTGTTCAGACTGAATCGTACCAAATCTTCTCAGTACTTGAGGATTTTGGTGCACAGAACTGTGCAGTCGTGTCATGGTTTTCTTTGTCATTGCTTTGAAGGCGTATGTAAGCTGTACTCTGAGCAGAGAGCCATCAGAGTCAAAAGATTGGTGGACAAGAAGAGACTGTGAGTAAACTTCCCTCTTCAGATTGATGAGCTCCCTGAAGCTGCCTGCATGTGATTCATGTTAAAATGTGCAATTGTGTTTTAAGATCCAAATTGACACCAGAGCACTCCAGAAAAGTGGAGAAGACTGTGGAAGTGGAACCTGCAGAGGAGAAAATTATTCAGGAGGAAACTGTTGGTAAGTGAACACGCCTCCTAAAACACTGGGGTTATTTCTCTGTGAAAGCTGTGACGTTATAGTGGCTGTTCAGATGTAATAAGTCTGTTTTTTTTTTTAACAAGTTTATAAATTTCTCTTTATATATATATATATATATATATATATATATATGTGGTATATATATTGTATTCATCCTTGTCATTTGCAAGCTTTGGTTTAATTTTTGAGAGCCATTAATCGTGATCACAGACTGAGCACTGGTTAAACCGGGCCCAAACATTTGATATCCTGCCAATTTACCTTTAAATTCAAATTTTAGATCCATACACACAAAAAATTTAATTGTGCAGAACTTGTATTTAATCGACATGTTTTCTTTTGACTGACAAATGCACAAATGACAGAAAATGTAAAGATAAGGTTAAAATTAATATTTAATTATTTATTTGTTGTTTAAATTCTTAGGGGGTCAGCGTTAGCTTCCGCCATTTTTTTATTTTTTTATTTACCTGTTTAGCGATCTGGCGTTGGCAAAGCTATTTTTTTTAATTAGCTGTTGTGCCCACTACTGCATTGTCTTGTATCAGTCCATCATGTAGATAAAAAAAAAACTACTATAATATCTAGTGTTGAGACTTAACATACAGTATCTTCTGACAAGAGCATATTGAAACTATTTCAGGTAAATCCTTTTACTATTGTCTTGGTTTAAATGTAGTAGTGGGGTATCTTAATTGTCGGTATTCTTGTTGGGTGGACTTGTATGTGATTTATAAAAAGCTTAAAGACCATTTTTGGAAATATTAAAGAAATTGACAGCTCTGGATTCATTTTATTTATTTATTTTTTTACCAAACTCAATTGAAATTGTGCTTGCTAAAACTTATACTACAATTCCCATTGTTGTAGGTGAAGTCATTTTAATTTGTCTGTTGTTTCCCCCTGCAGAGAAGAATGCGTCAGAAGTCCAGAACAACTCCATCAATCTGTGGGAGGAGGGCCGTGTGGAGGATGAGCTCTCTCCTGAAGAGATTCAGATGGTGTGCAACTTTAAAACTCTTTCTAACATGTTGATTAAAATATAGGTTTGTATGATTCATGACTGTACAGCTAATCTATGTGTAGCAATGCACTCAAATGTAAAAAAAGGTGAAAACATTCATAAAAATAGACTCTTTAAACATTTCATAATAAAACAGCCTAAAAATTGGGATGGTTTCATACCGTGAAGGAGAACCACAGATGCCATGTTTGCTTTGAGGATGCTGATGAAGAAGTACAGAGAGTGTCAGACAGAACTCCATTGTGTCTTTATGGATTTAGAAAAGGCATATGACGGAGTGCTGAGGGAGGAGGTGTGGTATTGCAAGAGAAAATCTGGAGGGGCAGAGAAGTACAGTGCATCCAGAAAGTATTCACAGCGCTTCACTTTTTCCACTTTTTGTTGTTACAGCCTTATTCCAAATTGTATTAGTCTCCTCAAAATTACAATTACAGCCTCAAGACTTTTTGAATATGATGCCACAAGCTTAGCACACCGTCTTTAGAAAGTTTGTCCCATTCTTCTTTGCAGTACTTCTCAAGCTGCCTCAGGTTGGATTAAGACGTCTGTGCAGCCATTTTCAGATATCTCCAGAGATGTTCAATCTGATTCAAGTCTGGACTCTGGCTTGGTCCCTCCAGGACATTCACAGAGTGATCCTGAAGCCCCTCCTTTGAGAT